GGAGACATGGAAACAAAAGAAACATGTAGACAAAAAGACACAGCGAGAGACGGACACGTACAGAGGCACAACGCAGTGAACCACACGGTAAGAGGCGCACACAAAGAGACACAACCACAGATACACAAAGAGACATGGACAGACACAAAGACACACACGGTGAGCGACACACAAAGGCAAAGACCCCCCGTATAACCTTAATAGACTGTTGGGGCAAGTGCTGTTCGCGCTATGAAGACCGGCACAGCCACATGCCCAGCCACCTTTGTCTCCCCAGTGGCGATGTTCAGACATCGCACCAGTTACTCAATTGAGGCTGACTCGAACCAAGGGGAGGCCCAGGACCGGTTCAAATATTCGTCACTGACGCTGGCCGTGAGCGGGAATCGAACTCGGGGTCTCCGGGTTCGTAGCGCGGCGCGCTGCCCGCTACACTACCGCTCCCCACACACAAAGAGAGACACACAGAGACTCCCAGCAGTGAGACAAAGAGACAGCCAGAGACCACGCAGAGACACGAGCAAGAGACGCGGAGATGCACGCGAGCTGCTACTGCTGCTGCTGGCTGCTGCTGGCTGCTGGCTGCTGCTGGCTGCTGCTGGCTGCTGGCTGCTGGCTGCTGCTGGCTGCTGGCTGCTGCTGGCTGCTGCTGCTGGGGCTGCTGCTGCTGCTGCTGCTGGCTGCTGGCTGCTGCTGCTGGCTGCTGGCTGCTGCTGCTGCTGCTGGCTGCTGCTGCTGCTGCTGCTGGCTGCTGCTGGCTGCTGGCTGCTGCTGCTGCTGGCTGCTGCTGCTGCTGCTGCTACTGCTGCTGCTGCTGCCGTCTCCGCTGCCCCGCTGGGCTGCAGCGGGCATCGCATTAAATTACGGCGGCGCTTCACTCACGCGCAGCAGCTTCTCGCTGCCATTAAAAATGACTCCAGAGCACATGTGCAGACTCAAACAGTTACAACATAAAAGGAGGAGCAGAGTAGAGGAGGAGGCGGCGGGGGGGGGGGGGGGGGGTACCAGTGAGAGGGAAAGGATACACGGGGAGGAGGGGGTGACGGTGGGAGTTGGGGTGGGGGGGTTGCCGGTGGAGGAGGAGGGGGGGGGGGAAAGCAGCAAAAAAAATAAAAATGAGGGTTGGCGAGAAACAAATTGATTCGCGTGCCTCGGCTGCCGTAAATGGAGTTGCTGGCTCGCATCACTACACGTAAGACGCAGCGAGATGGGCGCGGGGAGTCGTTCCGTCACAGTTCGCAAACCCTCCTCGCTATTAGTGTTATTATTTTCTCCTTCTTTCGCTCTCTACGGTTCTTTCTCGGGGTTTTTATATTTTCAGGGCAGCACTGCCCATCCGCCCACCCACCCACCCACCCCGTCATTGTTAGCAATGTTTTCGTGAGCGAAGTGGATTGGTAACGCGGCGCTCGCTACCCACTCAAGAGTCCCGGTGTCCCCGTGTGCCAGGCAGTTGGGTACGTGTGTGCGTGTAATTGTAGCCCTGTGTGTGCGTGCGTGTTTAGGTGTATACTTTGTCCGGGTGTGTGGGTATGAGTGTGCGCTGTTATCTGGTCTACCTGTGAGTCGGGGAATCGGTAGTGTCGCGGTTAGCGGCGCTGCGCTATGAACCCAGCGACCCGAGATTGAAATTCCCACTCAATGCCAACACCAGTGACAATTATCTCAACCGGTTCTGGGCCTCAAATGAGTAACTAGTGCAGTGTGTAAACATCGCCACTTGGGAGACAAAGGTGACTGGGCATGGTGCTGGCCACCCACCCCCTCGTGTGCCGTGCCAGCCTTAAATAAGTGCTTGCTAGCAGCACTTGCCCCAATAGTCTATTCAGGCCAAAACGAGGGATCTTTGTCTTTTTTAAGCATACACTTTCTGGGTACATGAGTATGCGTTGTTGTGTGGCCTGCCTGTGAGTATGTGTCGTTGTGGCTGTGTGTGTATTTAGGTGTACACTTGTCTGGAAACCTCATTTACAAATATATATACACACGCAGCATCACGTGTGGTGGCAAGATCGGTCTCTGTGGAGGACAGTACTGGGCAGTTGGCGGAAATCGCCCTCCAGCAATAACGGAGGGCAAAGGAGTGACTCTCACAACAATGAGCAGAGCGCTGGGCGACTAAAACGCAGCAAGTTAGCACAATGGGGAGCACAGTTGGTGCATCTGCCAGTCATCTCAGTCGGTCAACCCATGGCCCCGTGACCTCCTGCCAGCGAGCCTTCGACAATGCACGTGGCCTCAAAGGGTACCTAGTCTGGCACAAGTGTCGTAGTGGTGAATGGCGGTTGTCATTGGTGTTGTTTTTGAACACGTCCATGTGTAAGTGAATGTGCGTACATCTAGACGCATGTGCACGTGAACACGCCTGTGTGTACGTTAACATGCGTATGCATGGGCGCGCACATGGGTGTTCGGTGGGTGTGTGCTCTGAAGCTCACGGCTGTCTCTCATTCGGAACAAGATAAAAATGAACCATCACGACAGCTCCGATTTTTCAGCTGTCGGCAGTTTAGAAACGCATACGTGGAGTTTCGCCGTGAAAAATGTGCTGACAAAAACATGGCCTTCCATAACCGCCGTATCAAAGCAGCTTTTCTCGACTGTCCCCGATGCCCAAAGTCTCATTTAAGACGGCGTTTGTCAGTGCCCGAGAGTGTGGGCAACTCCTGCTCTCAGGAAGCAGCGCTTTCCGTCCCGAGCACTTCCAGTGCACAATCCCTGGGAGCCGCGTTTTAACCGGCACGCGTTAAAACGCCACACGCAGCGCGGCAATTCTACTCCCCCGAAATCCAATCTTTGAGATTTTATTAAATATCCCATTATGTGATTCTTCCTATAAAATGAAATTAATCGTAATGTACGTCGCAACAACGTAACAAGCAGAGTTCCGCCCCAAAAGCGAGAAAAAAAATACATTACATGTCTCAGTGATCCTATTAAACATACCGCCTCAGCTATAAACCAGATCTGCTATGGGCTGTCAAAAATCACCTACAGGAAATTAGCTCACAGCTGCTTAACACGTAGCGAGCAGGGCAGGTGTCAGACATGATATACTCCAGTATCTCACCCCAAGAATTTGATGTGGGCTTAAAGGGCTCATCAGCTCGGCACTCTGTCCGGCGTTTGGGAGAGAATGTCGTCCATGATGCTAAGAGCCGCTAAGATTTGGATCCAACGCAATCGGACCCTCGGTCACCTGATCATGACTTCACGCGCCGTCACCGCTCTTCGTGTGCCATCTTGCACGACTCCTTTCTCCTTCCACTCGCTCGCTCGCTCATTCGCTCGTTCACTCTCCACGACCGTGAGGCCTTTCTTAGGCTTCAAAACTAATTTATGTACATGGTAAAGCCCACTGATGAATTCCATTTCTTTCAGAGGTGACCTGGCCACATAAGATAGCTCATTGAGGTGGCTTATATCATATGTGGGACTTTATATGTAGCCAGATAATCTACACGCATATTTTTAAATGTGGAGGGCAAAACCGGAGGACCGCGGAAATAGTCTGTCACCACGTGGAGAGAGAACACGCGAACTCCAAATATACAGGCGTCTAGGTCTGCATCGAGCCCACGTCGTCCTGTGTCCTGGGCGAGGGAGATCATGTTTCGCCACCATGGTGCCCCTCTTCACCACTGAAGTGCCTTTTCATCGTTAAATAGTCGAGAGTTATCGCCTTTTCTCAACAAGACCCCAAGCGCAAAAAAGAAAATATCACGTTTTGAATTTTTGTTTTAAAAGGTGTGGCTCAATGAGCCGAATCAAGGTACATCGACCGCTTTAACCAAGTTGCTTCAGTCGCTTGGTGGATTCTCCCCATCACTGTCAACGATCACGAAGGTCCAGACAGCTGCACATGTCACCGACACAATCACACACATTACGGTGTTCCACAATGTCATGTTGCAAATTTAGAAATGCACAAGGGCAAAACTACTTTCTTTCACAGAGTGTACAGGTTTGTCGTTTTACGCGTTGAACACTCTGAAGATGACCACCTTAATTGTCAGCTGTTCACCGCTGTCTGATCGGTGATGCACTTTTTCCCAGGTTGCCTCGATCTCAAACGAGTTCGCAGCACTGTCACGGCAAAGCGCTGGCTCCCTCCACGCCCTCCGTGTCTGTGCTGCATTGGCCGTAACCTCGCTTAACACAATATTCATTCGCCGATAAGACATCAGTGTAAGGGCCACCACACATTTGAAACCATTGGATTTGACAAAATGATGGGGTGTTTTCACATTTGTGTATTGTTGGGGGCCACACGTCAGGGACCGCACTGAAGGCCACCAGGGGCCGCCAGTGGCCCGCGGGCCTTGCAACAGCACCTACTCCCTCCTGCTGCTACTGCTGCTGCTGCTTCTCGAGTAGGGATCTTTGACTTCGCGTATGGACAAGGGAAGAAGAGCACAAGACCACTCCATGTGCGGGAGTGAGATAAATGGTAGCATCGACTGCAAGGGATTGAGCATTGGGAGGCCTTCATTCAGATGTGGATAGACAATGACTGATGATGATGAATGAAGAGGGTGGGTTATTAGCCAGCCTTTCCAAATGGAAAACTATATTTTTTACAACTGCTTTTAGTATTCAGTTTGTTGTCCTTCCCCCGTACCTCCGATTAACACGGTTGGCTACGTACGTTGCAAAAGAAGTTCAACATGCGAAGATAAAAGATCCCCCGTATAGCCTTAACAGACTGGGGCAAGTATTGTTAGCGAGCACCTATCAAGGCCGGGACGGCACACGAGGGGGTGGGTGGCCAGCACCACACCCGGCCGCCTTCGTCTCCCCAGTGACGATGTTTACACACCGCACTAGTTACTCATTTGAGGGTGAGTCGACCTAGGGGAGGCCCAGGACTGGTTCAGACAATCGTCACCGGTGGTGGCCGTGAGCGGGAATCGAACGCGGGTCGTCAGGTTCGTAGCGCAGCGTAGCGCTAACCGCTACACTACCTCTCTCCACACACCTACGCACAGCCGGTGGCTCACCTTCGCTGTTGGTGCTGCCTTCCGGACGGCCGTTCCGCACCGTCTTGTTCCAGCGACCCTTCCTGCGGGCGGCGTGCGGCGACGGGGGAACGTCGCGCCGGCCCGTCGGGGAGCCCGGGCTGAAGTGTGACGAGTCCACAGCGCTGTCGTCTGCGGCACGCGCGGTACGAGCCACGCACACACGCACGCACGCACGTACGCACGTACGCACGCACGTACACACAAGACACATCAGCGATGCACTGGTCGGCTATAAGAAAAATAGTGGCACCAGTGTTTGGGTAAGGAGGATGCAGGCACGGCATTGTAGGACTGGCTGGAGGTTCTGAATGTACGGCAAGCATTGCCGTTTGAAGTCGCGTGGCTGACCTTTGTGACAAAACCGAACTTTTAACATTCGGCAGTGAAAACTTAAAACAGGACTTTGTTATCCCTCCATGAGCATTTAGAATGTTAAATATTGGCAAGAAATATACGTATGTACATTAATAACAAAACAGCACTGCACAGCGTATGATGAAACGAAATAAATATAAACTACAAACTGCACATTCTGAAGTTTTTTGTTGGCACAAGCAAGCTGCTGCGTAAACACTTTTAAAAATTCAAATGCATTTTTAAATACTGATGAAAACAAAATGTAAATACAAGCAATTATGCCCGCGCTGTGGTAATTTTTGCACTCCGTTTGAAAAGCGCGTGATCCTGCGGAGCGCTGCCACGCCAAGCTCCAACGTCGCTTGGCGCTCGGCGCTCTCGCAGCTGTCGCCCCGCTCACGCCCCCCGCCCAGTTTGCTCACAGCGCGCCCGTGCGGGCACGGCCTCCTCGCGGCGCCAGTGTCAGGTGCGACGGCCCGCTCGCCGCCGTGGCCGACAGGGCTTCATGGATGTAAACTCGTGGAGGGAGGACGACGGTGGCGGAGGACGGGACGGGGGCTGGCGAGCGAGCGAGCGAGCAGGCGATGGAGAGAACTCGAGGGTGGGGTGGGGACGACGACGACGACGTGTAACCGGATAATCTATCCCTCGCTCAACCCCCCCACCCTTCATCCCTCCCCCATGTCCCGGCCCCTGAGGCCGCTCGTAAATAACGAGGCAGCGCCCGAGGGCCCGCGTGGCACAGACGCCCTCGTCGTCGGGCTCAGAGACAACAGCAGCTGTGCTCTCGCGAGGTCTCCAGCTCTCGAATTACTCACTTTTACTTAATATCGCCGTCATACGCCGATACCGATTCAATTATCGCGACTTGAAATGTAACAATGAGGAACGCGTCCTGACCAAGATTGCTGTGATAGTCGTGACGTTTTAAAATACTCTCAATCTAACGCGGGAAGGAATACTCACACGAGTTTAGGTCAAGTCTCTATTACACGGCATATATATATTTCACGTCACGTGGAAATCCTCACTGCAAGTTTTCCATCCAGCACCTGGTGCGCTGGTAGTTCCAAATACAATTGTTTACAGAAAAAGTCTTCGACGCACGACCTGTGTCGGGTTTGCCACTCGCCCGTGCGCCACGCGTCTCACGTGTCCCATGCGTCCCGCGCGCTGTACAACAAGCGGCACGACATCGCCACGTACGGAACACGAGGCATTCGCGCCGCGATTGAGATGACAACAGCGTTTGACCCGCCTGCTCCTCAGTAATTACCCGACACCACTTAATCTAGTGCTCCATCCCTCCGGGTGCACTGAAGAGCGTCAGGGTCGTGGGGAGTGCGGTTGTTGGTGGGGAGGCCGGTTTGGAGGTGATGGGGTGGTGGTGGGGGGGTGTTGGGGGGGGGGGGGGGGAGGGGGGGGTGGGCTCTGTCACGGAAAAAGAGATGCCCCTCATTACCGCAAAAGTTTGAAGACCAAATGAGCCATCAGCCATGGCAGCGCCGGGCCACCTAGACGCCCTGTGCAGCAGCGGCTGCCCCGGTTTAATTCGCTCTGTGCAGGAAGTGACACGACGGCAATTGCCCCTTCACCACAATCCAGTAATTTTCTGATGCCCCAACCTCGTTTTCGTTTTGTTTCTCTGCCTCTGCTCTACGTGAAATGGAAACGCATGCTTAGTTGTCCTGAAACAAAAGCACCACGAGCCTTAATTTTCATTGCTCAATTCCGCATCCTAATGATTTGCCCACGTACTTTGCAGATTAGGTAGTAAGAGCATTTTCTGCTTGAAATTGTTGATATTGAATGTCTCTGAAGATTATCCACGGTACCCTAATGTTATATATAGAGTAAGAAATTAATTAACGTTTTAAAAAGATATATATAGTCGTGAAGCCCCGCGTGTTATTTAAAAATACTTAGCAAAGTGAGCTTTAATCGCGTATCCTACAAATAGAGCACTGTTTAAAATATTTTCCCACTCAACGATTCTGACGATACTCATTTGATGCCGTTACATCTATTTACTCATTTATAAAAGCTGCTTTCGCCGTGAGAGCATTTCTCCATCGCTGAATGAAGAAGCTCCTGCAAATAATGGAGCCGGAAAATTGCACGCAAGTTAATTTTATCATAACAGAATCAGAATATGTATTTATACTAGAGGAATCCGATGAGCTATGAAGCTCTTTTTCACAGACGCCCTGCAAGCGCTAGAATCCTAGCGGTTACAGGAAAAGTCACGGACGGATTTTTTTTTTTAAGAAAACCCCATTAGGTAAAGGATGCCACCTGAAGACACACATGGTGAATGCCCCCCCCCTCCTCCCTCCCCTGTTCTACCGGCCTCACGCCCGACTCCTTGCCGCCATCCACCCACAGTCCACGCACGTCCCCAAGCTCCCACTTACCCCAGCAGCCCCTCTCTCCCGTCCTCAGCCCCTCCGCACCCCTCCCCACACCCCACCCCCCCCTGCCTGGTTTTGGCCCTTCTACGAGTTGAGGGTAATGAGGGGGATCAAGGCATTGGTGATGGGATTAAATGGACCTGATCAAATCCCTTCCCAAATTACATTCCAGATAATTACAACCCTGATAGAGCCGACGCTAATTAGATGGGTCTTCATATTGAATTCCGAACCCTTAACCAGGTTATTCGATATTACAGTGTTCCTTTGCCTGACTCGCAGAGACTTTGCGCAACAGAACAATCAACCGCCGTCTCTCGCTTTACCTTCTTTTTTTACATCGGATCAAAAAAAGGGTCAGCTTTTTGTAGTCAGCTAAAATGAGGTGAAGTCAAGAGACGCTCACATTAAAAAAAAAAATTCCGATCATTACCGGTTGTAGTGAAGATACAAGATCAACATGCACAACGAAAGATCACACCGTCAGTTCTTCTGATGAATAAATCAATTACCGTCTCTGCTTTAAATAAAGCAACCCCCGTACTTTCCTTTGAGGCAACGCCTCTGCCGAGAAGCACGCTTCCTCTTATTACTGCACGTTTCCTGCAGGGATTTTTTTTTTGCATCGTGAATTTTCATACAAACGAGGGCCCTGTGAAGTGAGTTTAAACAATGAAACTGGTGCGAGCGTGCAGGGACCGTTCTCATCAGTTGGCGTGCGGTTACCGAGGTTCTTGTGGTGGCGGAGGTGATGGCGATGGTGGTGGCGGCGGTGGTGGCGGTGGTGGTGATGGTGATGGAGGCGGCGGTGATGGTACTGATGATGGCGATGGTGGCGGTGGTGGTGGTGATGGTTCCGGTGGTGGTGATGGTGGCGATGGTGGCGGCGGTGGTGGCCGTGGTGTCGATGGTGGCGGCGGTGATGGTATTGATTATGGTGATGGTGGCGATGGTGGTGGTTGTGGAGGCAGTGATGGCAGCGGCGGCGGCGGCGGGGGAACGTGGCGCTTTAAAGCGGCCCGCCTCTCGTGCATCGCACCAGAAATCACATTTAATGGCAACGCTCACACAGGAGAGACCCGCGCAACGTGGCGACACGCCACGCTGTCCGGAACCCAGCTGAGTCTCCGCAATTTGTAACCGAGTCTCACACGAGAAAGAAAAAAACCCAACAAGGGCGAACCTCAACTTCACGGGACGGCGGAGATACATTAATTCCTGCTAACGAGGATTTTGGGCGTGTTTAGTTTGGTTTGGGAAATCCAACCACTTGCTAAAGGTCTCTCGGGGAGAGGCCAGGTGTCACTTCTGTGGAGTGAGATTGTTGCGCTATGGAGGCAAGATGTCAATTTTAAGACCTATTATTGCTTGCTCATGAAGTCATACTGGACAGACAACTACATCGAACCTCGCATTCATTGGCAGCATCTGTGCATTTAACCATCCACTAACTAGTTTTTGTGAACAAATGTTCACTTGCAATGTAGCTTTCACTAAATCTGTAAATGGTGAGAAAAACCCATCAAAACTGAAAAATAGTGCATGTTGAAGAAACCACAAGTTAAAAAACGCACCCAAAACTGTGTACAAATCACTCAGCCTTTGCGCATGATGCAAAAAATCATCAATTTCCTGGAAAAGTGCTGTGTATCTCTGCCATCACCGCCGCTGCTATCAGTCGCTCACATTTGCTCAAATATAATTAGATGTATGTATGTCTGTTCAACTTCCTTCGCACCGTACGTAGCCGACTGACGAGAATCACAATAGGATCACAATGCACTTTTCCAGAAAATACTGATGGTTTTTGCATAACGCACAAAGGCTGAGTGCTTTTGGGACGTTCGTGTTGGTTGTTTGAAAAGTCGCTTATAAATTGGCGCCACAACCAGCTCCGTCAGGGGCTCCTCCTCCTCTTGGTGAGAGCTCAAAGAGAAACCTTTGGCGTGTTGTTGCCGAACGAATACATAAATAAGGTCACACTCATTGCACGCAAAGTACTCGCCACAAATGGGCCACACTACCTTGCCCATCTCGTCAAGGAGCATAAACCATCGCGCCAACTCTGGTCTTCCTCGCAACGGCGAGACATCGAACAAAGACGGTCACACTGCATCGCTCCTTTTCAGATGCGCTTCTGCGGCCGTCTGAAACCAGTTTCCTTCTTATATTAGGAAGCCCAACTGGAGCTGTGTCATTTTAAATCTAGAATTGCTTCATGTGTTTAGTTTGGTGTTCTTCCCCCGCGAAAGAAGTTCAACATACACGCGTGCATACGTGTCACAATTCGCACAAGATGCTAGGCCACGGCTCCTGTATACGAACGTGGAACCTTAACGATTCCACAAAGCAACGGGGTGGGTGCCCATGCCAACATTCATGCAAAACCACAATGCAATTCCTGGCGTGTCCAAATTCACACAGCTGCCCCTCCCCTCCTGCTTAATTCTCTAAAATCAATCACTGCATTCCCCAGTGGCAGCTGCACAGATTTACAAAAGAGACACACGAATCACCCTCTGTGGCTCTGGCAAGTTTAAATATTTGATAGAAAAACAAAACAAGTTTCAATGTTTCTTGCCGTCGGTTTTCACACCTGATAATGACTGTTTGTGTTGCAGTCGAAACGTCGTGAGAATTTTATTGTTTTATATATCTTTTATAATTTTATTGATTCTCTTCAACGCCACTTTATCGAAAGAACCAAGAATATAAGTTTAATGCGATTATATCCAAGCTCAAAGGTTAAGGAAATGAGTACAGGGATCTGGCCAGAGCCAAACCGTCACAAACTGTGGCGGCCGTTTGCCTCCGTGGAACAGAGACTGTGAAACGTGAGGCCGTGGCGGGGAAGGGAGGCAAATGGAATGGGATTTGGAGAAGACTGTGGTAAGGAGAAGTCGGGGATTGAGGGGCGAGAGGGCTTCGTGGGGAGGAAGCGAGCCCGGGGAAGGGGCCGGAAGCGAGGGCGGACGCAGCCTCACCGAAGGCGCCGCCGTCAATCCAGTGCTCGGAGCTGCAGAGCGAAGCAGAGCGCTGGTGCATGGCGAGGCTGGTGGTGCTGGCAGAGCGCTCAGACGGCACTCCTGCAAAGGGAAAGAGTGCAACGCTCATCATCACCATCGTCATCACCACCACCAACATCATCATCATCATCATCATTCCGCAGAGCCCTTCTGCAACGAGACAGCAATGATCCTCACCATCGACGACATCACTGTGTTCAGCCACCACCGGTGTCAGGTGGTAGATGACATCTTTTCATGGCTTCCTATCTTCCCATCTGCCATCTGTCTCCACAACTGTCCAGTCCTGGTCAGTCTTTTCCACGGCACTGTCTTTCCACTTCTTGCATGGCTCTGCCTCTCAGTTTCATTCCCTCTATCCCCAAATCAAAGGATCATTATGCAAATCAGTTATACAACCATCAGCCCATGCAACCGTACCATTTAGGTCTTGCCTGCTCCATTGATGCTTGTCGAACACAAAAAGAAGCGAATAAAGTTTAAGATTCTTTGATTTGTTACACGGATGGTCCTGTTAAGGTCAAGAGGTCATTTTGACAAATGCCCCGGATGCTACCACATCTTGCCATCGATTCCATATTCAATGTCATGCTAAAATATAATCCTTAAGTTCCTCTCCTCAAATATCTTACAATCCAGTTTTAGGTCTTCCCCTTCTCTGGGTGCCACTCCAATGCCGTCTCAGTAACCTGCCCTCCTCCATCCTGCACGCGTAACCCACCGAACAAAACCTCTTCTTCCAAATTGTATCTACAAAACGTCGTCGCTATGTTCTATTCCTAACTTTCAAGCCGCCAACCCTATCCTCCCATGAAACTCCTACCGAACCTCCACATGCAACTTTCTTAAACGGCCAGAGGTTGATTTTCCATTGGTTACAGTCCAACTCTTTGACCCGTACAATAACGCGGCGAATACTCCTGTCTCAAACACCCATCTTTTCACACTTTTGAGGCACGACGTAAGTCACTTAGGAACAGAAGAGGGGAGGGATAACAAGGCGACGAAATGCGGGCACGTCGTTGGACGGCACGCCACGTGGAAGAGCTAGAACTGGCGTTGGCTGCTGCAGAGGATACACGGGAGGTACCCATCATGCAAATCCGACACGGTAACGCTGGTCGCACGGACGCCCATCCGCTCCCTCCGCTTCCCTTCCTTCCCGCTGCCACCCCCTCTCCCCAGCACGTGGACGTACGTTTTGTAGCGCTGGCCGGCGTCACAAAGTGAGCCTCGAGGAGGGCGGTTGGCAGCGAGCGAGAGGCGCACAGCTCGTGATCACCGCGCACATTAGTCAGCCATTTGCGCGCCTTCCCGTTTCGCCGGCGCAGACATTCAAAATGAATAGGCAGGTTTGAACAGCATGAATAATAAATGACCTTTGCGGGGCACTGCGGCGGCACGTTATAATATCCCTTTTCGCGCGACACATGGGTCTGCTCGTGACAGCTTAAGGCCCCCACCGCCCGGACCCCAGCACACGCGGCGCGGCAGCAGCAGGGGAGACCCCCGCGTAGCATCATTTAGCGTGGGGGGTTGTGGTGGTGGTCGAGAATAGGAAGGGTAATGGGGGGGCAGGTGGAGCAGGGAGGCAGGGGAGTGGGGGATAATGGCAGGCGAGAGCGCCTGGTGACTGCCCATTGGTGGAGTCTATTACTGAGCGTGACAGATACTTAACCCTTTCCCGGCCAAGCGGCCCTCCGCGAGGGCGACTCGCAGCAGACCGACCTTGCTTTCAGCGTCGTGTAAGTGGACTCGTTAGATAAATAATTAGCACGTTCATCCGTGTCGCCGAGTAATGAACTGTGACGTGCACGCCGATCAGAGAGGTTCACTTTCAATCAGCGCCGGCTTCGGTCGTTGGATTTATCTTATTTGACACGAGTGACACGGGGCCCTCGGGGGCCCGGCTGATGTATTGAGCAGGGATAGGGTTACGGATAGAGTTATGGTTAGTGTTGGGGCCAGAGTTTGTCATGTGTTTAGCCATGGCCATGGCTGAACATTATCGATATGTATTCCTGTAGGGCAAGTTACAAACATTTGCTGGCAAACTGGATGCACAGTGATCCTCACCCCAGAACTAAATTGTCTCTTGAAAAGTGCAAAACAGGTTTGTAAAGAGATGGTTTCCTTCGTGTGAGCTCATTGATATAAATATCTCTTTGGCAAGATGAGCTGGGAAAACAATACAAGGAAAAGGAGGCGCCATACACTTACAATATAATCGTCGCAAATAACCGAAAAAAGTAGAAAAAATACACAATGCTGAAGAATTTTGAATAAATAGTAAGTAAATCATTAGTTTTAACATCTCAGTTTTTCGAATGTTTTATTCAAACAGCAGCAGTGCAATTGGCAGCTAATGACACAACGCCAAAAATCGGTAAAACAGTCGGAAACACAACGCAGAGACACAAAAGCCATCGTCTTTGCATCGGCGCTGGTGCCTGCGACGCGCCGCTCGGCTTGGCCGCAGTGCCGCGCTGAGCCGCGATGGTCGCTACGCGGCCAGGGGCGGCCGCGGCCGCAAAGCGCCCAGCGCGGTTAACCGACCACGCAGACACCCTGCGATATCTCCCGCTCACATTTATCTTCCCCCACACTCCACCAAGAAATGGCAATTGAATTAACAAACCCTGCACAACTGCCCCCCTCGCCCCCCCCCCCCCCCCACTTTTCCCACCGGCCCCCTCCCAAGTTCCAACCGGGACATCCATTACTGCCGCAGCCACCTCAACCGCCCTCCACCACAACAACTGCCCCTCCCCCTCCCCTCCCACCACCGCTCCCCACCCCAAAATAAAATAATGAGAAAAAAAATAAAATAATCGGGATCCTAAATCTGCCCCGCTCTTGGGAGGCTGTTAAACCCATAATGAGCGTCGAGTCAATCACCTGCCCATCACGACCGCAAGCAGCGCTCCTCACTGCGTCGCCCAGAAATGCTTTTACACACAACGCATTTACTGCAATTTGGGGTCTATTAACACTCAGAATAAATGGGCTGTGGTGGAAGCGTGCGAGCACGGTGCCGGTAAACAATGAAATATGTCATCACGCTGTCCTGGTGTGGCAGGCAAAGTCAGGACATAATACGCGCCGCTGATGTTTTTTTTCATTTTCAGAATGCACACGATCCAATACTGCCTCGTGTGGAAAGATCAGTAAGGGGATCTTTTTTTATTCAAAGGTATTGTGTCGATGAAGGCCTCTCTGGAGGTACCGTGTCAGTCATGGGGGTTGTTTGACCATGTTTCACCATGCTGGTCAGTGCAGGTGAGAGAAAGCGGGCCCAAGGAGTGGTTCAGATGTTAGCTCAATTGAGAGTGAAACTCCACATTGCTGGGCACGTAGCGCAGTGCACTAACAACTGCGCCACCGCACAACCGCGATTGTAAACAATCAGGCCATCGTAACAGTTCTGCTTCAGGGATCTGAAAGCATTGCTGCATATAGTGGAGAGTGTTTCACGATAACGAGGAAAAAAATATTTTCAGTCAAAAAAATGCCACCGTGACTTAAAATTGCTTAATATCACCGATGAATTCTATAATAATTTCTATAGCGATTTTGTAGATTATGCATATTAAATCATATATAATATAGAGGGGGTATTTTTTCGTTTTCTTCCCAATTTAGTATTCAATGTGCGTAAATAGTTGCACAATCACCTGCACACTTGAGAACATACATGTTAATTGTTGTTGGCCAAACATTCCTGGATAAGTTGTCATTATAATGAGTATTAAATAAGCTTTTTTTTACAATTGTATCATCGCAAATCATACTTCATAAAGTAGACCGCTAAATGTGTAAGATATCTACGATGTAAGTGGCTAATCGGGATGGATATAAATGTTTGTATGCAAGTACGTTGTGAGATGACGTTGGCTGGGATTTGAACTCAAGGCCGCTGGGACCCCAGCTGCTCTACCAAAAGAGTGCCATCTCTCAATCTCACTCAAACCAACATATCCAACAAAAAGAGACAAAGACCCCCCATGTAGCCTTAACAGACTGTAGGAGCAAGTGCTGTTAGCGAGCACCTATGAAGGCCGGCACGGCACACGAGGGGGTGGGTGGCCAACACCACGCCCGGCCGCCTTTGTCTCCCTAGCGGCGATATTTACACATCGCACCAAGTACTCATTTGAGGCTGAGTAGACCTAGGGGAGGCCCAGGTCCGGTTGAGATAATCGTCACCACCGGTGTTCGCCGTGAGCGGGAATCGAACCCGGGTCGCCAGGTTCGTAGCGCAGCACGCTAACCGTTACACTACTGCTCCCCACAACAATACACACACATACGCACAGTATATACACATGATGCACATCATCATTATCATCGGCCACGATCTAACCACGGCTGGATGAAGGCCTCCACAAGCCATCGCCAACTCTCACGGTCTCGCGATGCAACAATCCAACCAGCTCCCGCAAACAAATCCGATTTCTCCACGGTCGAGGTTACTCTCCTTTGGCTGCCGCTCCATCATCAGTCTTGACCACTGGCCACTATCCCTTCTCGTGACAAGTCCTGCCCAAGCCCTGTCTCTCAGTGTCATTCCAAGCATGTTTCTTCCATTGTCCTCGTCACCGTCAATGTCTCTGATCCGTGCGTCACAACAGGTGAGGGATACACCGATTAATTTAGTTTCTTATCGACATGTAACGCTCTTTTGTCAATCCACTGCTGGATGAAGGGCATCCGCCATCCTGTGCGGTCACGGGGGGGGGGGGGGGTATATTCCACGCACATATATATGCGGATAACGCAGCATGCGCCGTTCTTCGTGATACAGCGAATGTTCAGTCACGTACAGCAACACACATTCTCCGACACGGTCCTTCTGCACCGCGACCCCCAAGAATGGCCACCGAAGGTGTTGCCACGGTGCCCCCCCCCCCCTGCTCTCCACACCCTGGAGATCCACATGGGCCCCCCCCAGCTCCCACGTCTCACCGCTTATCACCAGCACTCGCTCTTGCTCTAATCAGCGGCCGTGTAATTGTGGCCCAAGACGACGCACCACAGCGCGCGCTCTCTTACATCTAAAG